ATCATTTACTTGAAATTGTTCTTTTTTTGTTTTTAAATGTAGGATCCTACTGCTATAATTTTCCCTCTCAGTACTGCTTTTGCTGTATCCCATAGTTTTGGTATACTGTATTTTCATTTTAATTTGTTTCAAGAAATTTGAAGGGGCAGGCATGTGACATGGTGGTTAAGGTGCTGGACTCCCACGGGGCTGAGTGCAGTTTGAGTCCCAGACCTGGTGTCTTGCTTTCTCATTTTCCCCTTCTCTCTCTCTCTGGCCAAATTAAAAATGATAAAAACAAATGAAACTGAATAAATAATTCTATAAAAAAATAAGTAAATCTGAAAATTTCCTTCTTAATGTCTTCATTGACCTAGTGGTCAGGAATATACTGTCTAGTTTCCAAGTATTTGTGTAATTTCCAAGGTTCTTCTAGTTACTGATTTTTAATTTTATTTGATCCTGGTTAGAAAAGATAATTAATATGATTTTTTTTCTCCCAAATTTTTGGAGAATTCCTTCGTGGCCTTAAATATGGTCTCCTCTGGAGTGTGCCATGTGCTGAGAAGAATGTATATTTTGCAGCTCTTGAGTGAAATGTAACACATCGTTGTTGCCTTTTCTGTCTAGATGATCTGTCCAATGCAAAAAATGGAGCACTAAAGTCTTCAACTATTACTCTATTAATCTATATCTTTTAGATCTAGTAATTTTGCTTTATATTTGGGTGTTCCAGCATTGGATACATAATACATTTACAATTATTGTTATCTTCTTGCTGGATTGATCTCTTTGTCATTATGAAATGTCCTTTCTTTTTACAGTTCTTGAGATAACGGGAAGATGTGAATGGTAAAGTTATCTGATCTGATGGTTATGAACGGTATCTCATGGTAGTGATAACTAATGATAAGCACATCTTTTATTATTGATTATTCTTTTATCTTCTTTTGTGAACTGCTCAAGTCTTTTGGCAACTTTCTTTTTTTTTTTTTTCTTAGACATTTCTGCTATAGGGCATGTGCACTCACCAGAGAGAGAGAAACAGAAAGACAGAAAGTAAAAAATCATTCCCTGGGGTTGATGGCCATGCCACAGTCCCTTCACTTCCATCCTGCTCTCAGGATTTTGGGCATGCAAGCACACATGCCTGGCCTGAGTTTTAAGTGGTCGAGTCTGGGACTCAAACCACAGTCAGCTATGTGGGAGTCCAGCAACCTAACTTTTATGCCATCTGCTGCCCCTCTTTCGGCAATTTTTAAAAATTTTTTTGGAGAGGTTTTTGCTATAGGGCGCGTGCGCTCGCCAGACAGAGAGAGACAGAGAGACAAAAAGCGAGAAATCACCCCCCAGAGGGGATGGCCACGCCGCAATCCCTTCTCCTCCATTCTCCTCTCGGGATCTTGGGCACACACGCACACGTGCCTGGCGTGAGTTTAAGCCACCAGGTCCGGGACTCGAACCATGGTTGACTATGTGGGAGTCCAGCGACATAGCCATTATGCTAACTGCTGGTTCCTCTTTCGGCAATTTTAAAAAACAATCTTTATCAAGGTATACTTAACATACTATAAAATGAATCCATTTTAAATAATTCATTTAATCCTGTAACTTTTTCATCAAATTATTTGATTCAGTGATTTTTAGTAATTTTCTGAGTTGTGTAACAATTACCACGATCCAGTTTTAGAATGTTTCCCTCACCTTGGTAAGGGTCCTTGTGCTGTTTACAGTTCATCTCTATTGTCGTTTGCAGCCCCAGGTAACCACTAATTGCTTTCTGCTTCCATAGATTTACCTATTCTGAACATTTTGTATAAATGGAATTATATGATATTTAGTCTTTTGTGTCTAGCTCCTTTCACTTAGCGTAATGTTTTTGAGGTACCTACGTATTGTAGTATGTACAGTATTTTGTTCCTTTTTATTGCTATAGTCCATCAGAGAGTTATACCACATTTTCTTTATCCATTCACTAGTTAGTGGACATTTGAGTTGTTTCCACTTTTTGGCTACTATGAGTACTGTTGCTATGAATAACTGCATGCAAATATTTGTATGGACATGTTTTCATTCCTCTTGGGGAGAATCTAGAACTGGAATTGTGAGGTCATATCTTAAATTTATATTTAACCTTTTAAGAAACTGCACAACTGTTTTCTAGAGTGGCTGCACCGTTTTACATTCTTACCAGTGATGTATAAGGGTTAGTTTTTCTCTATCTATGCCAGCATTACTTATTTTCTTTTATGATAGCCATTTGAATGGGTGCAAAATGTAGCTCATTGAGGTTTTAATTGGGAGTCTAATGGTTTAACTCTGAAGTCTAATGGTTTTATGTATATTTTCATGTGCTTATTGGCCAGTTGTACATCTTGGTCCATTTTTTAAAATATTTATTTTATTTTATTTATTCATTCATTTATTTTAATTTGACCAGAGAGAGACACACAGAAAGAGAGAGAGACAGAGGGAAAGCGAGACCCAAGCCACCAGGTCCGAGATTCGAACTGTGGTTGGCCATGTGGGAGTGTCCAGCACCTTAACCACCACACCACCTGCTGGTCCCCCATCTTTGTACATTTTTAAATTAGGTCATTTATCTCACAAATATTGAGTTCATAAGTAGGTCTTTGTATTTATAATTCCTTAGTCAGACTTATAGTACAAGTCTGTGACTTTGCCCATTTCCTTTCAGTTTTTTAAAGAGGTTTTTGTTTCAGGGTGCACGTGCTTGCCCTAGAGAGAGACAGAGACAGTTAGAAGAAAAATGAGAAATCACCCCTGAGGAGGGATGGCCATGCCACAATCTGTTCTCCTCCATTCTCCTCTCAGGACCTTGGGCACGTACACACATTCACCCAGTGTGATTTTCAAGCCACTTGGTCTGGAACTCGAACTGCAGTAGGCCATGTGGGACTTCAGTGACATAACCGCTATGCCATCTGCTGGCCTCGATTTATTTTCTCCCTCTCCTTTTTAAAAAGAATTATTTTATTTAACCGTATTTATCATTACATTATTATTACATTTAATTTCGTACAAGGTGTGCACACTCACCAGAGAGAGAGAAATAGCAAGAGAGAGAAAGGCGCGGAGTGCCCTCCTGCAGGCATCGTGAGGGCCAGCCAGGTCCTCACCGAGACAAGAACCCCTCCAGTGTCACCGCACACACAGCGGCAAGTCGTTTCTGAGACAGACCTGGGGCCTCGCTGCAACTTGGCTGTGACGAGGTGACCCTGGGGACGGCCGGTGGCATTTGCTCACCTGCAGCCCCTGAGCAGTCCGCCCAGGAGAGCAGCTGCCATGCTGAGGGGCACTCGGCCCTCAGCCTCACCAGCTGGTTACACGTCAGCAGGTACTTTGCAAGGCGCGTGGCTCCCACTGAGAAAGGCCCCTCGTGTGGGCACGGGATGGTTCTGGTGCCGACCCACTTCTCTGAGCCCCGCCTTCATTGCTCATGTGCAGTCACAGCCTCGTTAAACAGGGGGGCCAGCAGGTGACATGGTGGTTCACTGCTGGCCCTGGCGGCTGCTCACTCCTCCTCTCTGTGCCTCTCTGAGAAGCACGCGTGCCCTATAGCAGATTTTAAAATGTAATGAATGGGACCAGCGGATGGCGTAATGGTTACGTTGCTGGACTCCCATGTAGTCGACCGCGGTTCGCGTCCTGGACGCAGCAGCTTAAAGGAGAAGGGATCGCGGTGTGGCCATCCCCCTTAGGGGGTGATTTCTGGCTTCCCAATGAGTGCACGTTCCCTATAGCAAAAAAATCTCCCAACAATAATAACAATATAATAAAATAAATAATTTTAAAATTATTTTTCTTGTCAATTTTTGTTGGCTAAAACTTATTGCACAGAGGACGTGTTTTTTTTTTTTTTTTTTTTAAATTTATGGACTTTTTAAAAAAAATTATTATTCATTCATTTTAATTTGACCAGAGTGAGAGACCAGGGGTGGGGGTGGGGGAGAAAGCAAGCCACCAAGTCCAGGACTCGAACCCTGGTCGGCCATATGGGAGTGTCCAGTGCCTTAACTACCACACCACCTGCTGGTCCCATGCCTAGTGTGTTTTTAAAGCCACTAGGTATGGGCCTTGAACCATACAGTTAGCCTTATAAGACCTAGCCACCAGGTCATAGGATGACCCAACGTTTTGTAGTTTTTGTCATTAAGGGTATGCACATTTTGTTGTTGTTGTTGAGGTTTTTTTTTGCTATAGAGCATGTGAGCTCGCCAGAAAGACAGAGAGAGAGGCAGAAAGCGAGAAATCACCCCCCGGGGGGATGGCCACACAGCAATCCCTTCTCCTTCATTCTCCTCTCAGGATCTTGGGCTTGCACACACATGCGCCTGGCATGAGTTTAAGCCACTGTGTTTGGGACTCGAACTGCGGTCGACTACATGGGAGTTCAGCGACATAGTCATTATGCTAACTGCTGGTCCTGGTATTTACTTTTTTTATGCCCTTGTAAATGAAATTTTAAACAGTTCTCTTTCCCAATTGTTCATTTGTAGAAAAGCTTTTTGTCTTTTTTTTTTTTTTTTTAAATTTTCTAGACGGTATGCAATAGCCAGAGAGAGACACAGAGAGAGGGACAGGGAGAAAGCACCCTTAATGGAGAAAAGTCATGCCACAATCCCTTCTTCTCCATTTCTCCCTTCTTTCAAGATAAAGCTGCTTCACGTTTGGGAAGGTGCCTAATTTAAGGAATGTTTATTTAGAATTTAAAAGGTTGTCTTTAGAACATAGGTCCAAGGAAGGGCACATTTAATTTTTTTATTAAGATTTGTTTTTAAGGATGAAATGTGTAATCCTTAAAAAGAGGGAAGTGAAATCTCATAAAATTAGATGTAATGACATAATTACTGTAGTCAGTTGATTATGATATCCACCCACCGCTTAAGTGCTTATGCACAGTATGGTTTGTTTAGGGTTTTGGAAAACTCGTTATCTAAGCAAGAAGCAAGAAAGGGTTAAGAGACCAAGCATGGTATTATATATTTGTGAATCTCTACCTCCATCTTCACAGTCTTCAGGGGCTTTGGCTTTTTTACAAAGACGAGGATCCAACCAGGTGGTTGTCTTGGTATTGTGGCTGTGGAATAAAGATTTCAATTAGAAACAGTAAAGTAAAGAGAGAAGACAGCATTACACAAGAAAAGATTACAAGCGACCGAAAGGTATCTGGGGTTGGAACATTTGTCTCCTGCAGGTTCCATTTGTCTACTTCAGGTTCAAAACCGTATTGTGCTCAATCTGTTACTTCAAAACTGCCATAAAGGAAAGGTATGCTCGAGGCAATAATCTGAGTGGAGACTTTAAAGAAGGGGTAAAATGCCAACTACAGAATAACAGATACTCATTTAAGCAGTTTCAAAAGGTGGGCATAGCCATACACTGAGCATCATCTGGCTGCAAACACTGCATTGAAAACCTTGTTTGCTTGCTGGCTCAATTCTTTCTTCCCGCCCTTCAAAAAAAAAAAAAAAAACTCTCTTTCCTGAGTGTCTCTGATGTGCACTGTACTGAGGTTGGGAATATAAGAAGCAATCTAAACAGAGCCTCTGCGCTCACAGGGGCTCTTTAAAATGAAATAGAATAAAACAAGGTTTTAAAGTGGTTGCAACATGCAAGTCCTGCAAGGTGCAAGTCAGCACAATGGGTACAGTTACACTCTATTGCAAAAAGCTAAGTCTTCATCAAAACAGACTATACAGGACAGAAGTAGAACGAAAAGATCCCGACCCTGCCCTTTTTTACGTAATAGGCCAAAGATGCTTCTGAGAGCCGTGTCTGCTCCATTTCATTACAGCTCACGGTCAGTCAGCTTCAGACCAGATCACCATGCAATAGACACCAGTGCTGAAAACGAAACTATCACATTGCCGTGTAGACAGTGTTAGTTTAAGTCTCTAAATACAAGGATATTAAAGAAAAAGTCATGGAAGAAAAATAGATATAGTAAAGCCAAAAAAGGGGGGGGGGCACATGAGGTTATTATGGAAGTACCGTGAGAACGATGTACGTTAACTTTCATTAGCGTCTTTAACATGAGATAGACGCACTAATCTCTCCCCTGACCACTCTCAGGAGATGAAACCAATGCTTTCCAGGAATCAATCTTAGATCTACCTGCTATACCTTTTCTAACTCTAGAGCTATTTACAGAACTACGCAACCATTACCAGGTATGATACTAGTTGGGAGACCATGGTAAGAACACTTTTTTAAAAATGCTGAATAATGAGTAATCTGTGCAGGACAAACATATTGTTTCAAGAAAGTCTGTGTGACTCATCCTGCCAGAGAGAATCTTCCCAAACTACTGGACCGTCGGAAAAGTTATGACATGCTTTTCTGTTTTTTATGCAAAAATGCATCGTGACTTTTCCGATGACCCAATAAAACCAGTAAATTTATTTTAGCAAAATGAAAGGGCCCAGGGCTCAAAGAGGCACAGGGGCATGTAGTTTGTTAAGTGGGGGGAAACAAACAAATGTTCATAGGGCTTATTCTCAAATGGAGTAACTAGACTATAAATCTATATTAATACCTTTTTTCTTACAGTTCCATGTTTTAGCAGCAGCAATAAAGATCAATCATATTGGCTATAGTAAACAAAATCGCTTTATTTAGCAGCAAATATTCAAATGTACTCTGATTATTTACCATTTATCAAACACATGGTTTGCAAATATTTCTCCTAGTCTATAGGTGTCTTTATACTCAGTTGATTATTTTCTTTGCTGAGCAATTTTTAAGTCTAATGCAGTTCCATTTGTCTATTTTTGCTTTTGTTGCCTATGCTTTTAGTATCAATATTCAAGTCCTTGCCAAACTCAGTGTCATGAATCTTGCCTCCTATACTTTCTTCTAAGAGTTTTACAGTTCCAGGTATTACATTTAAGTCTTTAATCCATCTAAGTACTATTTAAGTATAGAGATAATTTCTTTTACAAGTACGTCCCCCATAATTTACTAACTTATCTCTGTTAGAGTGAAGTTCTGCCAGATTCAGTGTCTCATTATCTATTTCTAAAAATATTTCATCCACTTCTAGTGATCCTACACCTTATTTCAAAAGGCAGTATGAGTCAAAAGTTTAAATTATAGGTGAAAACCCCCTTAAGTTGTACAAACAGAAAGTATATCTGGTTGTGTCTATTTTGTACCATCCTGGCCACTGTTTATGTAAACATACAACATAGTCAGCAGCATATACATATGGTAAAAAGAACAGCACATACACAAAATATTAGCGTTTCAAATGTTAGACTCCTATGTAATACAGCAAGATGCTCACTCTATGGGAAGGCTGTGAAATTGGGAGCATTTGAGGAAACAGATTCAAGCTGCCCACTCCTGATTCATTTCTGTATATGTCTTTGAGGGTAGTACTCGGCTCTCAATATTTTAACTATTATTCATTATATTCTGTAACTTCACTACATAAATATTTTACTTTGAGCAAACAACTTTAATGATGAGAATTGCAGCTATAGGGACCAGCAGTTAGCATAATGGTTATGTCTCTGGACTCCCATGTAGTCAACCGCGATTTGAGTCCCGGACCTGGTGGCTTAAACTCACTCTGGGCGCGTGTGCGTGCGTGCCCAAGATCCCGAGAGGAGAATGGAGGAGAAGGGATTGTGGCGTGGCCATCCCTCCCGGGGGGGGATTTCTTGCTTTCTGTCTCTCTGTCTCTCTCTGTCTTTCTGGCGAGTGCATGCTCCCTATTGCTAAAAACCTCTCCAAAAAAAGAAAAAAAAAATTACAGCTATATAAGAATACAAAAATTCTTTATAATAAAACTTCTAATTTTAGAAGTGAGAACAATGTAAGTTATCTTTCGTTAGGTATCTTTAATATGAGATAGACTCACTAATCTCTCCCCTGACCACTCTCAGGAGATGAAACCAATGCTTTTAGGGAATCAATCCTAGATCTAACTGCTATACCTTTTCTAACTCCAGAGCTATTTATAGAACTACGCAGCTATTACCTAGTATAATACTAGTTGGGAGACCACGGTAAGAACAGTTTTTTAAAAATGCTGAATAATGAGTAATCTGTATAGGACAAACAGATTGTTTCTAGGAAGTCTGTGTGACTCATCTTGTCAGAGAGAATCTCCCCAAACTATTGGGTCTACTACTTCTAATATTATTCTTTCTTCAAACAACATATAATTTTAGGTTGATTTAGTACATGTGGTATTCAATATCTCTATAAATATTATTTAGTAGTGCTTTCACATAAAAATAGGTTTTTTGGGGTTTTTTTGTAAACTTACATTGCATGAATTATTCTGAGGATCAGTGATATTTTTCTCCTGTATTATTTAACTATGCTATTTGAAAACATCAAATCTAAACTCTAGGACTGAAAATATTTAGCTCAGATCATAATACGCTCCTTCATGAAAATTCTTGAAATGATCACTAAGTTGGAAAGTCTACTTAAAAGTTAAGAAACAATAAAAAAGCAAAGAACAACATTCTTTATTCTTTAGATTTTCCATCATTAGTCATGAACCTGTTTTTAATTCTTCTGCTTTTATAAAGCCAAAGGTCACACTGATTTTTCCCTTCATCCAAATCAAACAAAAATGAAATAAAGTTTTATGAAATAGGTACATGTACATATAGTATAAAACAACGCTCAGACAATCCTCACAGTGACAGACACAGCAGAGAAGATACAGACATTTGCTTACTCAATGAAGTAGATCATCCCCGTGTCGGTGTAGGCCATTTCCCAGTTTTTGGGCAGTGGTTCCAGATTCTCATCTCTCATCATGTAATTCCTAAAGTCCACGGAGCTACTTGTTTGGTTGTAACTTGGAACAGTCTTCATCCAGTCAGATGACTCAGAATGCCTCTCTCTGTTTTCTGCCATGTTCAAAACAGAATAGCACGAAAAATAGGTATAGTTACCTCGTCTTCAAACAACCCTCTTCATTTCTAGTAAAATGCCAAATAGATACATACTGCAATTGTCCTGGTCTGTTATGTCTACATTGTGCGGTAAATTTTGAAAGAACAAATAAACATACTCGATTTTTTTCATTTATTATTTTACGTTAATCCTGGACAGCATCTCTGATGCTAGTCTGGGAAAGAAGCAAAAACAACACTAGAATCAATTCAGTATAAATCCTAGTAGTAGGTAAAGGAGTACTTTAGGCTGTCAGGAAATTCATGATGTATTTTTTTCTATGTAAAGATGCGTCATGACTTTCCCGACAACCCAACATATAGTCTTTTTCTGTGCCAGGCTCTATTTTAAGCTCTTTACACATGAGGGATCCTCCAAAAGCTCATGGAAAATACACACTATAGAAAAACTACGCATAGATTTCTTTCTTTTTTTTTTTTTGTACGAAACTAACTTGTACTTTGTTTGTTTGCTATAGGCCTGTAGGCACATGTGCTCACTGGAGAGAGAGAAAGAAAGAGAAAGAGAGTGAGAGAGAAAGTGAAAAATCACCCTCTAGGGGGGATGGCCATGCAATCCCTTCTCTACTTTCCTCTCAGGATTTTGGGCATACAAGCACACATGCCTGGCATGTTTTTTTTAAGCCAGTGGGTCCAGGATTTGAACTACAGTTGGCCATGTTTGTTTCAGTCACCTTAATCACCATACTACCAGTTGGCTCACAAATTTATACTTTAATATCTTTTTAAATTTTAAAAATTTTTTTTGCTTATTTCAGAGTAACAGAGTAAGAGAGTGAGAGAGAGAAAGAGAGAAAGCAAGTCGCCAAGTCCAGGATTCAAGCCACGGTTGGTCATGTGGAAGTCCAGTGCCCTTAACCACCACGCCACCTGCCAGCCCCTTTAATATCATTTTTCAACAAACTTTTTGAAGCTACCCTCATAAATTAACTCAATCTTCACAGTAACCCTGTGAGATCTATTATTACTATATTTATTTATCTTGTCCATTGAGAAAACTAAGGCAAAGAGAAGTTAATTTGGTCAAGGTTACCTAGCCAGCAAACAGTAAAACCAGGACTTGAATCTGAGTGGTCCATGCTCTGAAATGCTATACTAGACTGCCTCATATACACTTAACACAGCCCATTAAAACTTCCTGTTGTTAGGGAACCAGCAGTTAGCGTAATGGCTATGTCGCTGGACTCCCATGTAGTCGACCGCGGTTCGTGTCCCGGACCCGGTGGCTTAAAACTCACACCGGGCGCGTGTGCGTGCGTGCCCAAGATCCCGAGAGGAGAATGGAGGAGAAGGGATTGCGGCGTGACCATCCCCCCTGGGGGGTGATTTCTCGCTTTCTGTCTCTATGTCTCTCTCTGTCTGTCTGGCGAGCGCACGCGCCCTACAGTGAAAATCTCTCCAAAAAAAAAAAAAAAAAGAAAACTTCCTGTTGTTAAATATAATTCTGCTCGGTAATATTAAAATCTTTTTAGAGTCCCAAGCCCATAATGTAGGTAAGAATACTAACATTTGGTTACTCTGTAGAGAATCCACAATTCAAGCACCTAAAATTTGTTTCTAGAATTTAAAAGATACCATATAATATCAGTATAACAACTCCAAACTGCAGGCAGTCTTGAGAATCAGAACATCCCAGATGTAGTCAGTACAACTAAGTAAAACCACCACCTGTATCCAAGTCCTACAATGCATTAATCCCACTCCTTAGTACCTTTTACTGTTCCTTACCCTACTCCTGTCCCACTGCCCTGCTTACCCAACTTAAATCCCATGATCAACCACTATAATTGTTCCCTCGTAAACACTCCAGATTCCTTTGCACAGCCCATCTTCATGCAGGCTAAACCACAACTCTGCTTAAATTATACTCTCCACCTCCTCCACGCCAGCACATACAGCTAAACATGGGCAATGGCTATATAATGACGTAAAACAATCATAACACATCCCTATATATAGTCCAGTCACTCTGATACTCTCCTAAATAGCCATTTCACACTTCCTTCTCCTTAACTCACCTACTACTTTTTATTTATCCCTAATCTCATTTGATGACCTTGTTTCCCATTTCACTGAGAAAACAGAAGCAAGCAGAAAAGCACTTTCACAAACTCCCACCATCAAATCTACGGAGCAACTGTGCCCACTTACTCCACCATCTGTCACCGCACAGGAACTGTCTGTACTTCCAGCTACGGCTAACCCTCTATTATGTCCCAGCCCTCTTGCCTACAGCAGTTCTCTCACGCTCCTTCCTGCATCACTGATCTTCCCCGAGAGATCCCATACATCCACACAAACACATGTTACTTCTCTGTCTTTGAAGAAAATAATTGCTTTTCTCCTCTGACAGGTACCCCATTTTCTCTCTTCTTCCAGCCATACCACTCTGCAAATTTATACCTGCTACCTCTACTTCAACTCTTCCAATTCTCCCTGGACCTCAGTTCAACAAGGCTTGTGAATTCCCATCAATAAAGGGTCATCAATAACCTCCACTTTGCTGAAGACAATGATCAGTTCTCAGTTCCCATCCTACTTGCATTAGCAGCAGTACTTGACATAGTTTATCACTTCATTCCTTGCACACTCAGTAATAATTTTCTCACTGGTGCCTCGCTTATGCCCATGCCTTCTGACTGCCTATTCTTTTTATTTATTTATTTAGAGGGGTTTTTGCTATAGGGCATGCATGCCCTCCAGAGAGACAGAAAGTGAGAAATCAACCCCCAGGGGGGATGGCCATGCTGCAATCCCTTCTCCTCCATTCTCCTCTTAGGATCTTAGCAAGCATGCACACACATCCAGTATGAGTTCTAAGCCACTGGGCCTGGGACTTGAACCTCAGTCAAGTATGTGGGAGTCCAGCAACGTGACCATTATGCCATCTGCTGGTCCCCCAATTACCTGTTCTTAATACAGCAGCCAAAACAAGACTGTCACTTATTGTACCATGTTACTCGAAACCCTATAATTGGGGGCCAGCAGGTGGTGTGGTGGTTAAGCCACTGAACTCCCACATGGCCAAAGGTGATTCAAGTCCCAGACTTAGAGGATTGCTTTCTCACTTTCCCTCTCTGTCTCTCTGGTGAGTGTATGTACCCTAAAGCAAATTTTTAAAATAATAATAATAATAAATAAAGTTAAATAAATAATTCTAAAGGAAAAAAGAAAAAACCCTACAATTGTTTCTCAACACAAAATAAAAACGAAAATTCTTCCAATAACCTACAAGATCCTATATGTGCTCCCCCATCTTGGTTTCTACTCTACCCTACTCTATTCTATTACCTTACCTCACTCAACTCCAACCACAGATAACATCTAACCACATTGGTTTTCTTGTTATTTATACATTTCAGGCATGCTCCAACCTCCGGGCATCTGTACTTAAGTTTCCTCTGTCTGGAATGCTCTTCTCACAGCTATACTGAATTTACTCACTTCCTTCTTTCAAGTCTTTTCTGCCACTCTATCTTGACTGCCTCTACTTCTTACCCATCTTCTCTTCTGCTTTTATTTTTCTCTTTAGCACCAGCTAACATATATGTTATGCAGTTATGTTGGCCAATCCTATCTCTCCGCCCCAAAAGCAAAGCCTCAGGAGTACTCTTTTGTTCACTCCTTTACTACCAGCACTTAGAACAATAGCTACCACTTAGCTGTCTGGCAGGTGGTCAATAAATATTTGTTGAATGAATAAATGAATGAAATACAAAATTTATTTTTTATGCAGAAAAAGTGATAGAAATGAAAAAGCACCAAATGTATAAATCAGTCTAGAAGGGAACTATATTCTTGGGAAATAAGTATGCTGGAGAAATGCAAAAGTAACTATATAATCTACATATAATACTTTTTTAAACTATAGTTCCAAGTAACTGAGTAAAGGAGTTTACTTCATAGCCAATGACTTGGAAAGATGATGTTTATATAATACCGCCTCTTGGAAAATTTTTTTAGTATTATTATATGGACATATTAGCATTATTTTGAACTACAAGATACAAGAATATATAAAAATTTTGGTATAAATATACAAACCTCTACCTAACCTACCTAACCTCCACTTTCCTGAATAATTTTCTTTTTTGAAAGAGAGTTTTGCTTTTAGGGCACATGTGCTTGCTAGAGAGACAGAGACAGACAAAGTGACAAAGTGATAAATCACCTCCCCGGAAGATGGCCATGCTGTGCTCCTAGAGATTTTGGGCACTCTCTCTCTTTTTTTTTTCCTTGTCTTTTTTTTTTCATAATCTTCTTTATATGACATTGGATTACATATAACTTTACAGTGTATGACATTGCTTTTTCAAAAGGGAATGCCATGCATGTCAGTCAATACAGAGACATTAATCTCCCCACTTCAACATTCAATAACTCACTTTCTACTTTTCCACATCAGAGCGTTGGCTCAGGTGGTTTCAACCATCTGAAGTGCTGTTCTTGTTCCTTTCAAACTGTCAGATTCTATCCTTACTACCAACATTGAACTCCTGATTTTCTCACTGGGAGTCATCCTCTCCATTTTCTCAGCTCCCACTGAATTTTGAACTTGTTTGATGGTCTTAAAGAACCAGCAGCATCAGAATTTAGATTTGGAAGGGACTTTTGCATTTATTTGGCTCTTAAAATATGTAAAGATATTTTCCATCCAGTGGTAAAGGTGTTTCATGAAACTGTGAATTCCTTCATGTCCTTCAGACTATTTCATCTGGTTTTCTCAGTTGTTTTTCCCCCATAGGGCACATGGCACTTGCTTGTGCTTGCTCACCAGAGAGAGAGAGGAAGAGAAACAATGAGAAGGAAAGTGAGACATCATCCCCTGGGAGGATAGCCACACCTCAATCACTTCTCTTCCATTCCCCTCTTGGGAAGTCACACGCACACACACACCCACCCAGCATAAGTTTCAAACCACCAGGTCTGGGACTCAAACTGTGGTCAGCCATGTGAGAGTCCAGCACCTTAACTTACACTGTGCCACCTGGTGGCCCCTCCCCCCAAATTTTCTGATTTTCCAAGGAAGGGGTAGTCCCTAAAAGCACTACACAAAACACGTTCTCCCAACTTTGAATTAACAACAGTGGTTAGTACTTATTCAGAAAAGATGAAGGACTTTTTAGGCAAGTCTTTTTTGTTAATTTTTTCACTTAAATATTCAGAGTATTTTCTCTTACGAAGAAATATATAATCCAATGTCAATAACCTATGCTACACACAAGAAACAATATAGAAACTGCCTCCCACATACCCTTGGACATACTCCCTTTAAATATTAACATCAAAGAATATGTAACATCTGCTTTAACAACTGGCTTACATGACAAGCATAAACTATGGAGATCACAGACAGGAAAGAAAAGGAAATTGCACTCACTGATCACTAGAAAGCTCTGCATGAGGAAGTTGAAAAAATAAAGAAAAGGAAAAGACAACCGTTTTCTTTTCCCTCAAATTAAGAACATATAAACTCAGGCAACTGTGACCTACAATAGTAGATTTTTAATCCTGCTATTCATCAACTTTTCCATATCATGGAAAATATGGGAGCCATATTAAAAATTTCTGTGTGAATTCAGAATTTAAATTCAAAATATTGCTTAAAAAAAAAAAACCCGTTCTAGATCATTTTCACTGGTATATTTCCAAAATCTATATACTTTGCTTAGATTGAAAGCTATATTCTAAAACATCTAACTTTGTCTATATCCTTTAAGGTAGGACTTAGGCCAACAAAAGTTCAGCATCAGATGTCAATCTCAAATATTTTTGGCAGCAGGGTTATGACGTATTATTTGACTACCTTTAACAACTTGTTTTTGATAAATCAAAATTGAGACAACTCACTTTTAACCTACATGACAGTATACAGAAATATGCTCAGCTCCACACTCAGCCTTTTTAAAAACGCTAGAATTCCATCACTTGTTCTCCATAGCTTTGTAAAAAAGCTCACTACTTCCTATTCACTATCATAGTAAAGTCAGCCTAGAAGATCAGTTAGAAGTTGTTTATCTATTTACAAACCTGTATTTCCACTGCCGTTAATAGCTTCCTTATCCTCATCTTCTTCCTCTTCAGGAAGGGAGCTGTCCATTCTTTCCATCTTGCTGACGGATGTAGTTCTTTTTCTTTGGGATTCTGTGTCAAACTCATTATCAAAGAGTACTTGATCCACTGGGTCTGGCTGGAAAGGGCTGGGTTCTGCTGGAGGCTTAGGAGTTCCATAGAAGTTTCCTGACGTGGATAAAATAATAGCAGTTGAAAGTACTAATACTGAATTGAGAATCAGAACAGTATTATCTAGTACATGCCTCTACCCAGTTTCTTACCATGAGGTTTTTGGATATTTACCATTCACCAGGAGGAGACCTAAGTACTCCTTTCTGGGAGTAGAAATAGGGAAAAAAAAAAAAAAAAAAAAAAACAACCAAAAAACCCTAATCTCTCAAGTAATCACCATAGATGATTGTTTTTCTTTTTCTTTTTTTTTCTTTTTTTTTTTTTTGCCAGAGAGCATGTATGCCAAGCAGAGAGAGACAGGGAAGGAGAAAAGAAAGCACCCCTTGCCCCATGAAGAATGGCCATGCCAGTTTTCTCCTCCATCTCCCCCTCCTTGTGAGACTTTGGGCGTGCATGCACATGCATTGGGAATGTTTCTCAAGCCAGTGAGTCTGGGAATCAAACCCTATGGTTGGCTGTGTAGGCTCTGGTCTTTAACCACCAGGCCACAGAACCAGTCCTGCCACACGTTATCTAACTTTTTCTGTTTTATTTTTCATTTTACCATAGGGCACGTGCATTGACCAGAGAGAGGGCATCCCTCAGCAATGGCCATGCTACAACCCCTTCTCCATTTTCCTCTTGGTATTTTGGGCATGTGTGCAAACGCACCAGTGTGATTTTTCAGGCTGTCGGGTCCAGGATCATGTGGGAGTCCAGCACCTTAACCAGCACACCACCTGCTGGTCACTGTCTAACATTTTAAAATAGCTATACGAAGGCCAGGAAGGTGACTTTATGTATGTGGATTGCTTATTCCATCAGGGCTTGCTTTACTTGGGCTCTAATTTGTGAATTTAAATGCATCAGTGCTCTCATGTAAGACTAATTGGCATAAAAGGTGGGAGTAAAAGAGACTAAAACTAACTCAAATAATTTTGTTCTAAAGTATAACATAATGAACGGTCTTGGTAAAATGAGGAAATACAGGGGCAAAGGATAAAGCTAAGAACTAACCAGTTTGTAAAGAAATGTAGGCTATTTGGTGTATAAATAATTTAAACATTTTTTTCTGAGCATCCTAATTGTATTTTATCTGACAATTTATTGAGCAAATAGAGACATTATTAGCGCAATTTAATATTGACTTACTCTTGGGAAAGTAAGAAATACTTTAATTTTCCTTTTGAGGTTCTGTAATTTTTGTAGTAAAAATAAATGTTCCAGAATAGAATGGAAACAAATGAGTATCTTTTCAATTTGTCCTGCAGTTCCCATTAGGAGGCCAGACACAATGGGAGAGCACGCTACCCGTCTAGCTACATTAACAGCTAGTGGCTCCTACAAGTTTTACCTTACACCAATTATTTTAATGTTACAGAATATAGATCGCAGTAAAATACTCATGATTTTTTAAAAAATCATACCTTCTAATCAAATTTCTTAGCTCCTAAGGAGGTATTTAAGATATTAATTCACATAAAGTAAATTAATGAAGTAGATAATGACTTTTTTTTTTTCTAGATGGAAAAAAGTATAGGTTGAGAGAGCAACCTAGAAAGAACATAGCTTACTTTAAATCATGCATGTTTTGAGGGAGAAACCATTAGGATGAAGTCTTTGGAAGTTTGAACAGTAATTATTAAATATTCAAGACAAATCAATGAAAAAAAACTAATGAACTTTTTCAACTACATCTGGCCTCTCTACACTATTAATGAAGTAGATAATGACTTTTTTTTTTTTCTAGATGGAAAAAAGTATAGGTTGAGAGAGCAACCTAGAAAGAACATAGCTTACTTTAAATCATGCATGTTTTGAGGGAGAAACCATTAGGATGAAGTCTTTGGAAGTTTGAACAGTAATTATTAAATATTCAAGACAAATCAATGAAAAAAAACTAATGAACTTTTTCAACTACATCTGGCCTCTCTACACTCAAATACTCCCTTGCTTCCAAATCCATGTTTTAAATAGCTTTGTCATACAGACGAGTGCCCAGATTCATATTAAAACAGACTAAACTTTGTATAAGCTTTCTGATCTAAAAGCAAAGCAAAGAATCAACAAAAAAGCCAGCTCACACTTAGCTAGGAAGTAGGCACAGAATACTCCAAACAGAGGTTAGGGTGAGGAATAGGATGTGGTAGATATTTTTCCTGCATTATGCCCAATAATCATACTTCGATGAATTCAGATGTACCCCAACGATATAAAAAATTCGCTTTTTCTAAGCATTGTGGTAGTATTACTAGAAACACTAGAAACACATTTCATTGTGAATTTTTAGTAATTATCTAATTCTAGGAAATTTAACTTTTTTCTAAGAGGGGAATTAAAAAAATACAGAATACTAAAATTGCTCTCCATAGTCACTAAAAGGATTTTATGATCTCATAATAACTGTTGGTACTTTATCTTAAAGGATAATTATTTGGCTTAGATTTCAAAAGAAAGCTAGTTTATAAATAAATTTTTAATTCTTTTTCTTGAGTTGTTGGTAAATATTAAGATTTCAGATTCAACAGGTAAAAAATCCAAAACTTGGTGAACCCTGACTGTAGTTATTAACAGAATAAAAGTTATACCATCATTTTAGAATTGCTCTAAAACTTTTCAGACCTGTTTTAAAACTTTTACTTATATAAACATATGCATTAATATTTATCTACTTAAACGCATATCCTCCAGATATTCTCTTTAGGATCATAAGTTCATACAGTGAAAGCCCTAACTTCCTGTGCTTATCCTTTCCACTCCCTGAGCTACCCTGAAGTTGATGTGTCATTTCCCTGAACAGTGTACAAATCTAGGACCTACCTACATGCATCCATAGCACATAAACACTATTGTCTTCAGGAATGTTTCAGTGTCTTCCTTTTCATAAGCTATATACTGTATATATCCTTTCTGTAGCATTCTTTTTATATAATTATACTTCGAAGGCTTTTTTATGCTAATACATATAAATCTAATTCACTCAACTGCTATATAGTATAGGTTAAGTAGCCCTAGTCTGAAAACCTGAAATCTGAAATGCTTCCAAATCTAGAACTTTTTCAGCACTGACATGACACTATAAGTGGACAATTCCATATTTGAGTTCATTGTGAGTCACAGTTAAAACACTGAGAGAGAAAAATACTGTGTAATTACATTCAGGCTAGGTGAATTAGGTGTATGAATTTCATGTTCAGACTTGGGTTCATTCCCAAAATATTTCATAACGTATATGTGAATATTCCAAAATCTGAAAAATATCTAAATTCAAAATATATTTTTGTGGCCAATGCATTTGGGACAAGGTATACACAATCTGTAGACCATTTTTATAATCAAATGTAAATGTATTTTATTCATTCCCTTACTAAGATACTTGTTTTCATTCTGTCACCACGTAAAACAATGTGTGGTGAATATTCTGGTACATGTTTGCATGTGCATATGGGCAGTGGTTTCTCTAGAGTAGATACGTAGGGGGAACTGTTAGGTCACAGTTATGCACATCTTCAAATTTATTAGCTAGTACTATGACGCTCTCCAAAGGGGTTGTACCATTTTATATTCTTGCCAGCAGGGTATAGAAGCTTCTATTTCTTGCAATATCATACTTTAATTTTTAAACTAACTTTATGGGAATTAAATGACATATGACTACTGGGGCCAGTAGGTGGCATGGCGGTTAGGGGTGCTGGACTCCCACATGGCCGACTATGGATCAAGTCCCGGACCTGGCAGCTTGCTTTCTCACTTTACCTTTTTTCTCTCTGTCTCTCTCTGGTCAACTTCAACAATAATAAAAACAGGGGGTGGCAGGTGGCATGGTAGTTAAAGTGCTAGACTCCCACACGGCTGACCACAGTTCAAGTCTCAGACCTGGCGTCTTGCTATCTCACTTTCTCTCTCTCTTTTCCCTCTTCTCTCATCAAATTAAAAAATAATTATAACAAATAAAATAAATAAATATTGGGAAGAAAAAAGATAAGTTCTCCAGAAAATAATTTGTAATACTATTAAAAAATAGCAATAACAAATAAAACTAAATAATTCTTTAAAAACGACATATAACTATTGTTTTAATTTAAATTTCCTTTGAAATGAGCATGTAGTAATTAATAACATGCTCATGCTATGCTGTCATATATAGGTGCCATATAAGTTATTATACTTTTTAATTTTTTTTGGAGAGGTTTTTGCTATAAGGCACGTGCGCTCGCCAGACAGACAAGAGACAGACAGAGAGACAAGAAGCGAGAAACTATCCCCTGGGGGGATGGCCACACCACAATCCCTTCTCCTCTATTCTCCTCTTGGGATCTTGGGCACACATGCACACGTGCCCGGTGTGAGTTTTAAGCCACCAGGTCCAGGACACGAACCATGGTCGACTACATGGGAGTCCAGTGACATAGCCATTACACTTACTGCTGGTCCCAAAGTTATTATATTTAATAGAAGAAAATGTAGGAGAATATCTTTGTGATTTAAGGGTAGAGGGCTTTAAAAAAATTTTTTTGGAGATTTTTTTTTTTTTTTTTTTTTTGCTATAGGGCACATGCACTTGCCAGAGAGACTGAGAGACAGACAGAGAGAGAGAGAGAGAAAGAGAAAGAGAAACAGAAAGAGAAACAGAAAGAGAAAGCAAGAAATCACACTCCAGGGGGTATGGTCACACTGCAATCCCTTCTCCTCTCAGGATTTTTGGGCACACGTACACACACGCTCAGTGTGAGTTTCAAGTCTATGGGTCTGGGATTCAAACCGCGGTCAGATGTCAGGTGGGAGTCCAGTGCCTTAGCCACTATGCCACTTGCTAGCCCCCCAAGGATAGAGGACTTCTTAAACAAAAACACAAAGCATTAGAGAAGTGACAAAACATACATAAAAATTAAGAATTTCTGTTTAATGAAAAAATACAGGACAAGGAAACAGATGACAGAATTGGGAAATACCTATATACAGCAAGAGACCAACATCTTAACATCTAAGGAATGTCTGCAAATGAAATGTGACTCTAATCCCACTTTTTATAAGCTGGACAAAGCAAATGAATGCACAATTTGCCGAAGTCCAAAAGACTAATCAGAATCTAAAAAAGATACCCAAACTCTGACTACCAGAGAAAACAAAATTAAAATGAGATACCATTTCTACAAGCTACTAGATGGTAACATTCTTTAACTGGATAAGGCCAAATGTTGATGAAGAGGCGGAACCATTACTACAGCTGCTACTGTAACACTCAGGCACTGCTGAGGGGAATGCAGACTGGAGAACTACGCAACTATTTAACCAGAGAAAGTGTCCATAAATTAGCAATTCTGTTAGTGGGTGTGTATTTCACAGACATCCTCACACAGGGCTATAGGGACACATGTTCAATAATGTTCACTGAAGCTTTATCTGTGGTGATGGGGAGTTGGAGGCAATCCAGAAGACCATCACTGGGAGGGTGGTTAAGTACAATACAGTGGATTCAAAATATAGAGTGATGCACAGCAGTGAAAAATAAAATGGTGGCTGACAAAGCAACATACTGGGTCGTTGGCGAAGTCAGGATGCATTTTTGCAAAGAAAAGCACAGAAAAATACATCATAACTTTTCTGACAACTTAATAGATGAATCTACGAAGCATAGTAATAAATGAAAAAGTAAAAATCCAAACGAGATATAGAATACAATTCAGATATAAATAATAAATGAATGCACACAGGAACCAACACACATTCTGAAAGAACACATATAATATAAAATAAAACATATTAGAATGGTTAACTATAAGAGGGAGGAAATTTGAACAAAAGTAAAAACAAATGAGCACCATTAATTCCGCTGAGAAGTCTTCACTGGCCACCTTATCTACAGAAGGTATTTCTGTTATTTTCTTTAAGCCCCTTGTTTTTATTTCCTTCATAACATGTCATTTTATAATTAAGTTGTCTCTTAATTTAGTGCCTTCCCTGTTTATGACAATATCTTTAGGTTCTTTTCTAGTGCTTGGCACATAGTAAGTACTTAATAAATGGTTGCTGAACGAATAACCAAGATTGAATGAATGACTGACTGACTGAATGAATGAGTCATGGGAGCTAAACCCAGAAATCAGATCAAACTTAGAAGGCAAAAGGAAATCACTGAAGGTTCTTCATAGGAGAGAGACGTGATCAGAGCTATGCTAGAGGAATAAGAACGTGACAGCAGTGGGCAAAGTGGAATAGACAGAGCAAAGAAACTGGAACAGAAGAGATCAACTGCAGCCGTCCAGACCCACGCTCATTTGGTGGCCTGCAGTGAGACCGTGAAAGTGAAAAGGGCACTGAGAAAGAGGCTCTGAAGGAAGACATGACAAGATTTGGTAACTGACTGGATGTGAATGTGAGATAAAGGAAGACGTAAATGATTGTTACAGTGTTTTGAGCTCATGGTGCTGCTAAAGGGAGACGTTATAACGAATTGCTCTTTTGGAAAGAACACAAATATGTATTTGGCTATGTTAAATTCAAAGTTAGATATTTTTTGAATACCATCTCCAGGCACTGGAGATAATATAAGAAAGTCATCATTTCTACTATTACAGAGTTTGTGAAAAAGGCAATTATAATACCATGATAAAGCAATGATGGAAAAGCACAAAGTGCTATGAGAGAGGACAACCTTGCCAGTGAGGAGTGTGAGATAAGGGGAAAAATGGGTCAAGCACAAAATCATTTAAAAATTGAAACTGATCTCAAATCTGTATTTCCTGGAATCAAGTGGATAGAGGAAACAGATACAGAAAGAAAACCGATTAGTCTGTTTTTGTTGCCTTTTTTTTTTCTACTCAATCTATATTCTCTTTTCTCTTAAAGTGTATAGTTTTTTTTTTTTTTAAGGTATACAGATTTTGGTTTCCCAACTACAAATAAAAAAACAATCAACAAACACTTTTTGAGTGCTTATGATGAATGTGAATTACTATGAAACATTCAAACTAGCCAGAGAAAATTTCTCTAAAAATCGAGAGGGAAAAAAATTCCTTTAAAATTAGTATTGGGCCAGGACCAGCAGATGGCATAATGGTTACAGCACTGGACTCCCACGTAAGTGACCGCAGTTTGAGTCCCAGACCTGGCAGCTTAAAAAACTCACACTAGTGGCATGGTGGCTGGGACACTGGACTCCTACATGGCCGACTACGGCTTGAGTCCTAGACCCTGTGGTTTGAAATTCGCACTGGGGGCATGTGCATGTATGCCCCAAATCCACAGATGGCATAATGGTTACAGCACTGGACTCCCACGTAAGTGACCGCAGTTTGAGTCCCAGACCTGGCAGCTTAAAAAACTCACACTAGTGGCATGGTGGCTGGGACACTGGACTCCTACATGGCCGACTACGGCTTGAGTCCTAGACCCTGTGGTTTGAAATTCGCACTGGGGGCATGTGCATGTATGCCCAAAATCCAGAGAGGAGAACTGAGAAGGGACTGTGGGGCAGTTCTGTCTCTCCCATCTCTCTCTAAAAATAAACATATTGGGTTAGGCCCATGCCCTAGTGGTTTAGGGAGCCAGATCCCACAAAGGCAATAGTGCAGTTTGAACCCCAGCCCCAGTGGATTGAGAAACATGTTGGGGATGTGTGTACATGTGCCTAAAATCCCAATAGGATGGTGTAATGAAAGAGAAGAGAATGTGGCATGATCAGAGAGCACACACACTCTCTGGTAATTTAAATAAATAAATAAATAAAAATGGCATTTAACCGATCAAATTCCCTTTAAAATAATTTTAGTCGTTTGGATAGTTTTCTGAGTAGAGGTGGTATTAATATTTGGGGACATACCATCATACGTTCCACTTTCTAACAATGCTCCACTCTCTTCCAGTGCTTTGAACTGTTCAACAGAAATGAAATTATAGTCCACCCCTGGTACTTCCCCATCCCTGGGGGCCCTTGTAGTGCCTAAGGAAAAAAAAAAGAAAGAAAAATATAGGTTGTAAAGTGCTCTTAAACTTAGGATACAATCAGAGTAACAAGAATTCAGTCTATACAGAATAGAGTACTTTATATACACTACCTGCTATAATACAGGTCAAAAAATTTTAGATGACTTAACATTGTTAGGTAAAATTTGGACAATCTATATAATGCAGGATGAATAAATACACTTTTATAAATCTACAGATAGCCATGAAATTAAAAACTACAAAAACACTAAAGTAATTCTGGTGCCAAAGGAGGCGTAACTTTCCAAGACATAATAGTTAACTCTCTTTAAACTTCAATGATCATTTCTTGAAAGAGAGAAGGAGACAAATCCACCAATAACAGACCCCCCCCCATTAAGGTATAACTGACAAATAACAGTCACATATACTTACGGTATACAATGTGATGTATACATTGGGAAACAGTTATAAATATTCTATGTATTTTCACTTCTCCAGGATAAATGCAAACTAACATTATACTTTTTTAGAGGGAAACTATTCTATAAGTTATTTTAATGACCTTTATTTTTAAAACTTGGATGAATATTGATTATGAAGTTACTTTAGACTAATATATAAATAAAAGGCTTACGATAGTTATTTGCATATTGCTTCTTAGTCATTATTCTCTCCAAATAATTTCAAAAAATTAAGCAATAAATAAACTGTTTCATAAAACTGACTATAACAACAGATCACTAAATTTCTGTGCAGTAAGGAAATCACACTAAAGTAAAATCTTCCTTTTAGTTCCGAGGTACAAACTCAAGTTAGGGCAGCATTGCTATATTTGATTTATTTTACTAAACAAGAATCAATCACTTTTATGAACTGATACTAGAAATACCATTTCAAATACGACAGTACACAGAAAGAGATCCAGATTTTGAGCTGAGAGTAGAATTTGGGATATATATGGTAGCAAATCCTTCCCAAACCTGTTCCTCTTCAGTAATGGCACCTGAACATGGAAATCTGAGAATCAGTCTTGGCCTGCCCCCACCCCCTGCCCTCTACTCTACATTCAGTCACCAAAGCCAGTTGATTCTACCACCAAATAACTTTCATTCCCACAACTGCCTAACTCATATCATTATCAATGGCTTGTACCACTGATACCCCCTTTCAGATCAACCCTTGCCCCTCACCAGTTATACAGTTCCACCCCAAAACTGCTGTCAGTAACTTTTCTTTTCTTTTTTTTTTAAGAGGTTTTTGCTATAGGGCATGTGTGCTGGCCAGAAAGACAGAGAGAGACAGAAAGCAAGAAATCACCCCCCAGGGGGGGATGCCATGCCACATTCCCTTCTCCTCCATTCTCCTCTCAGGATTTTGGGTATGCATGCACATGCACCCAGTGTGAGTTTAAGCTGCCAGGTCCAGGACTCGAACTGTGTTCAACTACGAGGGAGTCCAGCGACATAACCATTACGCCATCTGCTCGTCCTCAGTCAGTGACTTTTCTAAAACAACCATATGAGCAGTGACAGCAAAAACAACAAGACCCTCTCTTCAAGCCTATTCATGGCTTCCCATGATCCTTGGTATAAAATCTACACTCCCTAATACATTTTACAAGGCTCTTTGCAGTCTGGCTTCTGGCTACCTCCTCAGCTTCTTCTGTGCTTTACACATTCTAGGCTTCAGCCATAACAGATTATTCTACTAAATGTTTTTAAAAGTTTTTCTTTCTTTCCCTTTCTCCCTCCCTTCCTTTTTCTCT